GTTACGTTAGTTAACGTTAACGTTAACGTTTAACGTTAACGTTAACGTAACGTACGGACGTACGTACGTACGTACTACGTACTACTACTTACTACTACTACTACGTCTCTCCTCTCTCTCTCTCTCTCTCTCTCTCTCTCTCTCTCTCTTGGCCCTCTCATCCTTTTGACGAGAACAGTTCACAATTAGTTTCACATGGAACATTATATAAAAATAAATAATAAATAAAAAATAAAAATAAAATCTTCACAAAGATTTTGCTCAAATCAGCAGAAGCATGGATAGCACCATTCCTTATTACAAAATGCCAAGAATCACCATCCAAAATAAGCAATAGAAACCAAAGAATTGTTAATCTACAACTCTGCAATTTTATCTACTTGCCAAATCAGAAGATAAATCCCATGAACCGGGGACTTTCATTCACTTGCTACGAAGGACTCAGGCAGAGAGGTCATGTGAATGAATCAATATACACCTTTTACCACATTTCTCTCCCTTCTCTCTCTTCATGTAAACACCACAGGAATGCAAAATTGAGTCACAATGGACAAATTTGCCATTAAAACTTTAAAAGTTGAGTGTACTGTATGAGCTCCGGCTTGCTTGAGCCTGTCTGCCTGTTCTTCTCCATATAGCTCCCACTAGATTCTACAGAGAAGATCAAAGAGAGTGCAGTCCATGACAAACAAAGGTTAGTCAAAGAAATGGTTCAGCATAAAGTTATATAACATAACATTCTGAAGTTATTAAACATAACATAAATAGAGCTGACCATTTAACAATGAAATGGGAAAGCAGCTAGAAAAACTTGTCCACAAACTAATTGTGAAGCAATCAACAGAACTCAAATAGTTATGTAAACCAAAAATAGTAGAAAAAGGGCCAATTGCTGTGTAATAGACTCGTACATGCTTTGTTTTCAACTTTCAAGATTGAGAACAACAGAAAAACCAACTAGAAAACACCATGAAGCAAATAATGTAAGATATTTTTAACACCCTGGCACATAAACCGTACAATGATACTATCAAATGAAATATCTGATTTATCATACAAACCTGAGATCGTCGTGGTAGGCTGAGCCAAAACTCCAGGTTGGGAACCACCTGAAATTGAAGCAGCCCTTAGAACTGTTGCTAACCCTTATCTCCATGATATACAAATAACTTGTAGCTTACAGTACAACGTTGGATAGCCAATGTTGTATGCTTAATTGCTCTAGCCCAAGTAATCAAAAAACCATGTATACTTCCATATGGCAACGCCAAATACATAATTTACCAAAATCATATTCGAACTTATAGTCTCTTAAATGAATGACAACAGACATCCCACGGATCTAAAATACCCATAAATGAAGGGAGTTTTCTATTTCTCATATGATAGTTCAGAATTAGAGGACCTGAAAAGAACGAATGGGATCATACATGAAGTACAACAAATATCATTATCATTCTTTCTCAAACGAATTAGACTATTGAAATATGATAACATTTAGAAGGTACAATACGGAAAATGTCACTATCTGAGCTTCAGATTTAGAAGCAACGGAGAAATTGGTTCCAAAAATCAGAATGGATCTGCTCAAGCACACAATGGTTTTATGTGAAACCAAGGGGAAAGGGGGCATATTCTTGACTCATCTCATTTGCAACTTCCACAATAATGTCTTTTTAAGAAACTAAAGCACTTTAGAAGGGTAAAATGTTCACATGCATCAGAATTTTCAGTACCTATCTTATCATTGCAGAAAGAATGACTGGTAGAAACTAGATAGCACAATGACATATTTAACCACATAGGTGGAACCCACGAAAGTATATGAATTTGCTTTAATTTACTTTTGAGGTTACTCTTTAATTGTGATGGTGCACCGTGAGAGAATATTATCTACACAAACATCCCATTAAGGAATAAGTCTAAATTTACAGATGATGACTATAGTCAGCCTCCAGGGCTCACATATATTATTGATAAATAAAATCAAGCTATAGATAAAAACTTCACATATTGCCTTACAAAACATTATCCAAAAGAATATGTTCAATTAGTTCAACGATACAAAGCAGCAGAATAAAGAACGCTAAACTGATAAAGATTGGGGTTGAAGAGAATGCATACCTCTACACCCTGAATTCCAAGGAAAAAGAACCGATAAACCATACCAACCAGAAAATATGCTCCAAAGAGGCACACAATTCTGAAAATCAGAAGCAACTGTCAAATCAGCTATCACTACCAATTCTTTCATATCTATTTAGAAACAAGAGAAATCCATTTCATCCCCTGCTTATTCAATTAGTTAGACATAATGAGACTATCAAAATTAAAGTGCAACAGCCTAGATGAAAAGAACCCCTTCAATGAATGCATCATCAAGAGCAGAAACTGCATACATAGTAATGAGAGTACCAAACCATCCCCATTCATTTCCATCAAGAGATATGACCTTAGCACAACCAGCTGGATGCCTGAGAACAGTAGCCTGCGCACGATTCCAGATCAGTAATTCAAACATTAACAGAGATACATTCATGCATGTCCAGACTTGCATTGCAAAACCGTCACATTAACATCATACGAAGTATTAATCATCAGAAACATGAAATGGGGAAGAACTTCAAACTTGAGATGCATAAGTTAAATCCATGCATACATCATAAAACCCATCAATGAAAACAACATACTATGACAAACTACATAAAGATATGACATTTGAAGGCCCACATAGATGAGAACATACAACATCATACAAGCAGGTAGCCTTATTCAAATACGCTTGTAAAGCTAGCACTCTTTTCAATGTATGATCATTAACTAGATAGGGTACTGATCAATATTCAAAGGAAAAGAAAGATCACAAGAATTTGGAATACAACTATGTCATAATATTACTCAATAATTAATGAACAGTTCCTTATAAAAAAGAAAAATCCACAAATATGAATAAAGTATTCTGAACATGGATGTCCTACTCTACAATGCGGCAACAACTTTGTTGACCAATCTCCCAGTAAAAGTATGAAGGCAGAGAAGCATGACATGGAAAAGCACACGAATCCAGGTAAAAACCTGTCATCTATACCTCCTTTATCAATCAACTGATCTGTCACATGATCCTGCACAAAAGAGCCATGAGGAGAAAAAGTAGCATTTATGTTTTGTCCACAAGTTGACCAACAAGAACAAGAATGATGGACATTCTGTGACACGTATAAAATGAGGTAGATGAATGAATATGGGTGATACAAGCATTCCTATTTTAAAAAGGCAACTTGGTAAAAAGTTTACTTTCAACACAATGATTTAATCAGTGAACTATTAAACTAATAACTAAGACTGAGGTACCTCGAAATAACTACATAAAATCATGGAGCTATCAGATCCGCTTTGGAGGATAGATGCTGGCTCTTTTTCATTTCATAGTCATGGCAGTTAACATCAGACTGGAAAATTAGGCAGACCTTCGTTTGCTAGAAGGTGGTATATTGCAACATGAGCTGGGCCTATTTGGTACCTAGCATTAGCATAAAGGCGCCTAGGGTGGTTCAGATGCACATGTTTTGGTTTTTTACCATAATGGGAATCACTCTTAATATAGTAGGTGCAGTTTGGAATATATAGCGCAAGAAGAAAAGTCTCCTCAGAAGCAACATCAACTATGCAGTGAAGAAGACTGAATAGACAATCTAGAGTCCTTAAATCCTATATCTGCTACTATTGTATCAAGTAGATGCAATACTTTCAAACTTCAGGCCCAACCCATTAAGGCCTTCAATAACAATGAATAATACTATCATTTCTTTCTAAGACACGTATCATAGACGGAATACTTGTGCAACACACATAATGAATGAGAATTCTGTGTTCACCAATCATCTGGAAAGCTAAAGGTCTTTACCTTAATAGCTAAACTATATATCATGTTTGGAAGCATAAGCATATACATGAATTATTTATTCTCTCGCCAACAAGAGTGGAAACCACAGACATAAAATTTATCTCATGTGAAAAGGGAAGCAAACTCAATGGTAGGTAACCTAGCAAACTTGGGTTTTAATAGGGGGTAGTTTTTCTTTTGCTCGTTTAGACTTGTACCTTTTTTATTATAAATGGTGAACAATATTTCATGAAATCCAGGCAATTAGAGCTCTTAATGGATGTCAAATAGTGCTTCAAAATTGAGACTTTTCCTTTTGAATTGGTGCTGCAAATTTTGAAGACATGTTACTTGAGGACAGTACAAGGATTCAGGGCATTTGAAACATTGGTTCAAGAGGGAGTAGAGTAAAATTAGAAAACAAAAGATTGGAGGAGACGATGAAATTAGATGTATAATACAGCTGTTCTTTCCTTGGTATCAAAACATAAGTTCATTCCATAAATTCTTTGAATAACACCTCTTCTAGTAGTCAGCACTAATAAGAAGAAATCCTCTCACTGCAATTTTGAAATGGGACAAGACCTATGGCACAGAACAAATATGATAGCCACCACATTGCCAAATTCAAAGCAAATAAATAAATAAATAAGCAAGAAGGGAAATGATTTCAAAAAGTCTCAAAATATAACTGGATTGACAAGGAAATTTTACTAGACTTACATAATCACATGTCCCTAATAGCTCCAGTGAGTTTGGACCCTGCAAGTGATGTTGAGAAGTAAAAATATAGCACTAATGAATTTGCTGACTGAATTAATGAGACAAACATTAGAAAAGCAAAGATATCACAGTGAAAAATGCTAATGCACAACAAAAAGAGAATTACCAGTGCTCGATTTGTATCACAAACAACCGATACAGAAAGTGAGCAATTACTATTATAACTGCTAGCAGTCATCCTCACAATAACACCTTTATGTGGATCCTTTCTATCTATGGAAATTGAAAAAGAAGGAAAATTTAGTACAAACTTTTCATTGAGAAAATTCAAATACTAATATGAGCAAACCAGATATAGAGATATTAATTATATAGATAAAAAATTATATAGGAACAAATACAGATTCCCGCATGCAACCCAAGGACTAAATCACCAAACAATCGACCAAAATGACCATAATAGCTGAAAAGAAAGCTTGCACTTCATCATCCTTCCACATAGAGCTGAAGGAGGAATATCTTTTTTGAGAATGTTAACCTAATAATATCATAAGACAAGTCAATATATTATATTTTTATCTTTTTCTCTATTCAGTTTGCAACTAATGGTAACAAGGGTGCACTTGCAATATGCCTCAATGCACTGATTCTTGTTGTGCAGCACTATCCATAGTACGCTCAGCATGTTGAACTGCTTGTAGATTCCTGGCAACTTTCCTACCTTAACTACATAACACAATAAGTGAAGAAATCTGGGGATTTATATGGTCTTTGAACTTTCTCTTTTTCCAACTGGGATGAGGGTCAGGTGAACCACAAGGTTTCCCAAACATCTCAAACCAAATTACTCTAAATATGTGAAATCACCTATAGAAAAAGGACTCAAGAAATTTGATGTGATGAGCACAATCAGCACAAAATGTCGATTGCAAGATACGATTTGGACAGAATAAAATCATGCTAAGATGTAATAAGCACAATCAGCATGATTCCCTATATGCTACTTCTAAAACCATGCTATGATGTGTGTGGTACTCAAGGAATGAAAAAGAGCGCAATATGGAAGTGACAGAATAAGTCCTATATAAACAAATCACATAGACATGAGATACCCACTAATGGAAAAATACAATAACATGAGGAAGGAAAAAACATTAACTAAAATGCCAATGAAGTTCAGTACAATTGTTACAGTTCACACATATGGAAAGTTTTTTAAGAAACATATTTAACAGAAATGTCAGAAATCAGTTTTATATATTGGAACTTTGCTGAAATATCATGCTAACTTGATTGGAAAATTTGGAATTTTTGTAAGGGTATTTGGCCAAATTATTATGACGGTAAAAATGTTACTTTAGCAAGGGTCATCCTAGAATTCTCTAGAGATTAGAAGCCCAAGGTGGTGTAAATTTCCTAGCCTGAAATAACCTACGTCAAAAACTAAAAAAAAACCTAAAAATGGACCTTCCTAGATGAAGGACTCAAAATTCGTATGGACCATGAGGGCTCTCGCAAAGTCCAAGAAATCCCATTGGGCAGGTCCTATAAAGTGTTTAGAAATCTTCTATATCTACATGTAAATCCATTTCATTTGTATAAAGTAATCAGAAGTAGAGTAAGGGAGTGAAAATAAAGCCAAGTGTGTGGGACTTGGGTGATGGGAGGTAGGAGTATAGGGAGAGGAAGAGACTTTTGTAACAGGCAAGTGATTAATTTAGTATGTAGGTTGTATTTGATGAATTTAATTATTAAGTGACTCTTCTCTCAATTCATTTCCAAATTTACTTTTATAATTGAGTGCAGACCTCAAAGGACACAATCAAGGACATATAATTTCTCCACACTTTGGAGAAATTCAATGTGAAGTGAGAGTTGGCAGCAAAACCATTCTAGCTGGCTCAAAGGAACCTTGGTTAGAAAAGAAATAGCTCTCTCGTGGATGAATGAAGCCTTAATTATTTAAAAAGCTATGTAATTTGAATCATTGAGGATAGAACCAATAGTAGGTCAAATCAATTCAATATGGAGAAGTTAATAAACTCTACTTGTCCTCCAAGAGTAGATTTGGGAATACTGGCTGACACACTGAGAAATGACATATTCAAAGAAAATGGAGCATCAAATAGGGTATGGTTCTCTTTGCCCTTCCTGCTTCAGTCTGTAAGGATTTAACTGAGAGCATCAAAGATATTGAACATCCAATGGAAGTAAGGACATTAGAATCTCTCTTCACTGGCTAAAAATATTTCAACTTCAATTTCTCAAAAATGAGTTTGCCATTATTAGGGATTCAAGTGGATCAGGCCAAGGGTGATGCTGGCCAGGACTCGGATCAAAGGACACCGACCTAGAGTCCAGGACTGGGTCAGGCCAGAGCCTATCAAGAATCCAAACCAGGTCCAGCCCAACTATTTCAAAATTCCGCCCAAAACATGGGTGGAATAAAAAAGTTGGGGGTTCGTACTTTCATGAAAATTATGGTCATATAAAAATAAAATTGGGCCCATTATTTAAAAGTATAAGATGGGGATTTAATGTTGTTTGAATAAAGTGGTAACCAGTTTATGACATATGGCATGAGCATTTCATGGCTTCAAACAACACTCCTTGGAAAAGTTTTGGCATGATTCCATGGCCTACACACTTATGCTGAGTTATAACTTGGGATCAGCCACCAATTTTTTTTGCCTTTGAATTCCATTTTCACCACAAAATTTATGAAACTCCCCAAAGGTGTTCCCTTGCATTACCGATTCTCAAACACTTGATTTCAAGCCTAGTCCACCTCAACCATGCTTGTAAGTTCTTCACTTTTTGAGAGACCTTCCAATTTTTCCTTCATGAAAAACACACAAGAGAAACGAGAAGAAATAACTACTCACACAAGCATCAATGGCCGCTATAGCTTTGTGGTCCTGCATGGACCTAATACATTGAAATGTACACGCTCTAGTTGTGAAGTACTTCTACCTAAAGAGTGCTCAAATGGTAAGTGATGTGCCTTCATATTGGCAACTATAACATATGACAAAAATGTCATGCCTAGTATCCTTCTCAACATAGGCCTCATTTGAGGGTAAAACATGCAAAGATTTAACCCTTTTGTCTTGTAACACAACATCAGAAAAAAATTTCAGTACCTTACATTTGGCCCAAATAAACGTATATGCTGGAAGCTGAATTTCGATGGCCACTTCCTAGGTAACCTAGGACCAGCAGGTGTCAGAAGCCTCTTTAGAAACTTCGAGGGGCGCACGCTGCTCACCTACTCCCGACATATTGGTGTTGCTAACTCTACTACAGCCGAAGCTACTGCCCTCCTCAAAGGCCTTAAAGCCTTCAACCCCTAATGGAAACCGTTCCTTATTATTGAAGGACACTATTTCAAAAAGCATACCGCCCAGCACCTGGGCGCCGGCCTGAACCCGCTTAGGCGGCCTCCCAAGGCTTGCACCCCACCCAGGGGCAAAAATGTGGCTCCTTGAAGGTATTTTTGGGTCATTTTTTTAATACTAAAGGGGTAAAACCCCATTAGAGGCTATTTTAGAGAGAGGAAACCCAAAAAAAAAAAAATTCTACTGGGCTGCCCAGGTTCTGGGCGCCCGCCTAGGAGCTGGGCAGTCTAGACCCCCCGACCGCATAGGTGTCGCCTAGCGCTTTTTGAAATACGTTACTGCATGGGCATCCAGAGCTGCACCTTCCCCCTGGAGACTCAATCATCTCTTGACCGGTGCGAAGCCTCCCACGTCTCATGGAGGCACATCCAGCGGGAAGCTAACATCGTTGCTGACTCTCTTGCAAAAGCTGGAGCTACCCAACCCACAACTTGCCCATTGACGCTTGATGGAAATCTTAGCACGTTTTCCTCTCCAGATTCCTTTATTTTTGTTCTCAAAGTTGTACATGTTCAACATTTTTTGGTAGCCTATTCAGAGGCGTATATTTTTTGACCCTTGAAGTTTTTCTACAGGGCCCCTACCTGCTCAGGGACCTCTCTCTTACACCTATGTACCGTTTCTCCTCTAACTCAATTCAACAGTTGACACATTCAAAAAATAAATAAATAATAAGTTTTGGTCATACCAAGCACATGATACACAGTTTTGAAAATCATGGCATCAGTACTTGAGGCACCTTTCTTTGATGCTTCATTTCCACTGGCTGGATTGAGTTGTTGGCTCTTACAATCGCATCACCTGAATAATATTCTCAAAGGACCTTAAAACTTTGATTTATCCCTGGTTAGGTTATCATGGCAGCTGAAGCCAATGATCCAATCTATCCTATTATCCATGACCGCCAAAGCGCTTTCATATAAAATTTGTACAATCGATATTAGAACAGGAATACCTCAATTTATCTCCTGCTCATTTCTTATGAAGACAGTGCAATAATCCAAATTCTTGCTGCCATATTTTGCTTCCCAACACTTTTCATGTGTCTATATGTCCAACTTCCCCACATATGCAACGACGAAAAATTTTAGGCCTTTGAAAAAAAAGTTCAGCACGATTATTTGACTCATGACTTGATTTTGGAAAACCTTTTAGTCCATTAGAAAAGAATTCTGGGAAGGCTTTTTCTTCTAAAAATTTGGACAAACAATTGTCTTACAGTGACCAAAAATAGAATATAGTCACTTTTGGAAATTGAGACATCAGATATTTGGTGTATACCACAAGATTTTTAATGTTGCAATAGTCGGTTAGATCATGCAACCTTACATAGAAGTACAAATTTGGGGTGTATTCATTTCTAAAAGACATTGAATAAGATGTCTCATTAACCATGCTTTAGTCACAGGTTCTTTCAAATTCAGCTCTTATTTTGGCAGATTCATCTTTTAATTTTATAAAATATTGGAATATAAGCATTTTACCTTGTGAAACAACAGCAAGCTAATTTTCAAGAAATTGAAGCCATGCATTATTTACAAGAGAAGAGAGATTTTGAAGTTGCCCATGCTTCAAATAGAGACTTTCATATTTCTAGTATGCTCAATGAAACCATTGTTATTGAAGAAAGAAGGGCAAAGAGATTTTTCACACAATTGATCCTTCATTTCCTTTGGAACTTGGTATTGCCAGTGTGTCAGCCAATATATTTGAATATGCTTTAGCGACATTCTCCCACAGATCATGCCCTTATGGATACACCTTCATACATAACCTCTGTAAGTGATAATTAGAATTTGTTAACTTCTCAATGCTGAATTGATTCGACTTGCTGTTGATATCCATCCTTAATGACTCGAACAAAATGCGTTTCAAATCCTAGTCCCTTGTTCCATAATAAGAGACTACTCCTTGAACTCCACTGAGACAATTAGATTGGCTCTAATGCCATGATCATTTTGGTCCTTTTTTGACAAATCATCATGGGGTAAACTTAGAGGGTCATTCATGGAGGGCCAAATACAAGCAAGACTTCACATCTTAAGGATATAAACCTAGACAAAGTGAGAAACAAGGCACATGGGAAACCTTTTGTCTATTAGACAAAAGCTTAGACAAGGAATAAACCACAAGACAAAGAATCTTAAAATAATAACATATTATGTTGGACACTGTTATGACCTAGAAGTCCATGAGGCCATAGAGGTAGATTACCTCTACAATTCTACAAGCCCTTCAAGCAATAACTTTCTTTGATTTGAAAACATGCAACCAATAAACAATAAGGCACTTTGATATTGGACTTACAAATTAACCATCGTTGTCATCAACATCATCATCACCATCCAAGACTTATCCCAACTATTTGGGTTTGGCTACATGAATCCTATTCCAGCATTCCAATCTATCAAGGGTCATACCCTCAATCAGCCTATAACTCACCATATCTCTTCCCACTACTTCCATACATGTCCTTTTGGGCCTGCCCCTTGCCCTTTTTAAAGTCTTCCACTTGAACCAAATCACTCTTCTGGTGTTGTTTCAAGTCGACGCTTCATATGACTAGACCACCTAAGTCTACTTTCCTTCATTTTGCCCAATCGAAAATACTTATAGATGTTACACTTGACACTCCCAAGAAGTCCAAAAGGACTACTCTCAATGTAGTCATCTAAATATAGAATGATCATTCGGCTTCTCCCAACCTAAGTGACCATAGTCTCACAAACCTTATGTTCAAATCCTTTCCCATAAACCCCTTAAATTAAAAACCCTAAAACAAAAACTAATTTCAAATTAATCCTATTTATCATTATGAAATACACTTTCTAAAAGAAACAACAGAACATATTGGACTTGAACAATTACTAAAGAAACTCAAGGATTGAAATTCAAAAATCTTTTTGTGTTGAAACTCCAATAGAATGTTAGAGAACAGAGAAGATGTGTTATTTCAGCACTTGAAATGATATGACATCCGTTGTGCCAAATAAGCTTCATGAGTTACAAGAAGAAAAAATAGAAACAAATTCAAAAAAAAAAAAGAACACTTAAAGGCAACACAAGTATTATAAAAGATAATATGCACAACCTTTAACATATTGTGATAAAAAAATAAACCAAATCCAGTTTCTTCATACCCATCATCAGTATGCACACGGCAGTGCATGGTATGCAGAATTAGAGTGTCTAACATAGAAAATAGACAAAGATAACGTAGCAATAGGACCTGAAATTTTAATTTAATTTTCCCATTTTGAAGATCAAGATGAAATTGTACTGCTCTAAAAAAATAGACAAAAACAGACATGTCATACCTAGGAGAGTAATAACTGAGTTAGAGGCTCGTCCAATTGCTCTACATACATGATAGCCTGCAAAACACATAAGAACATTGTGTCGTCTAAGCATACCAGATAGCTAACTTAGATTTTTCTTCTTTCAGAACAAAATATGCTGCCTCGCATATCTTTGAAATTTTATTATAAAGGGTTTAAGCATGAGAGTGCCTCATGCAACAGAAGGAGATTTGTCCATTACAAATGTTAAAGGGCATCTAAAATGAACAAGGATTTAATTGTGCTAAAATACCAATAGGATTGAAATGGAAAGATCACGCAAGAGAATATCCATCTCAAGGATTACCTATGTACTTGATATCTGACTTAAGGCACGTAAGATGGGAATAAAATCATGCAATTTCCTGATTAAGAAGAATCAAAAACTTTGATAGTGCCATTTGATGTTTAGATGGGCAGATAATCTACCCTGGTTCATGAGAGCCAATCATGTAAGTTGTAAGACAAATAAGTATTAACCATCAATATATTGATTGTTGGAAAATAAACGACAGCACAATATTCTATACTTCATGACTTGATATGAATTCATATGGCCAAAGCTTTCATAGGCAACATAGCAACAAGGTACCTCACAGTCATTTATGCCATTTCTATCTCAGACATTTTTTCCCAATCTCAAATGGTGAGAGCCGTTATGAATCCTCTTTAGTCTCTCCTCTAAAACCCATGTGATTAATTGTACATGTACCCGAGAAATGCAGTTTACTCATGCTGAGTTCTTTAATTGAATAAGATACAAATCAAAATGAAAAAGTTTGGCCTAAATGTGATTTCTAGACTTGCCCAAATACCTGCAATATTTTCTGCCACTAGTGCACTGCATCTTGCACCACAGTATAGTGACCCATCACAACCCTACACGATCAAACAAGGAAGTGATATCAACAAGCAATGAAGAAAACAATATATAATAAAAAGCAAGTGAACAAGATATAATAAAAAGGAAGTGATAACTCTCTACAAAACATAACTGACTTGAATTCTATGATTAAGGCCAGGGTTTAAAAAAAGCATGAGTCGAACCGCGACCAGTAACCATCCAGACCAAGTCATCCCTCCCTAAATAGGGACTCAGACCTAAGGGTGCATAAATAAATTAAAAAAAAAAAAAAAACTTTGCCAAACTAGTGTTTTTAAGATGATTTGGAGTTCTTAAGCCAAACTTAAACATTTTAAAGCGTTTAAATTTTGTTTATTTGTATTTTTCTTCTTTTTGTTTCTTTTTTTTATAAGGCTGAGTTGGCCAAGCTGTCACTGACTCGACCTGTTCAACTCTGAAGCAGTGGGCAACCAGTTTGACCCACAAGTTCGATTTTTAAACATTGATTCAGGCCATGGATATATTAAGAGTTTAAAAGAGTCAGTCCAACAAGAGTTTGCGTCCTTTACTACAGGACAAGAAGCTGTCATGCATCCCATGGATTTTTGGATGGAGATATTACAAACTAGGGAAAAAAGAAAAAAATAAAACGAAGAATATATGGATTTTAAAAATGGGTATTGAACTGTAAATAATTTATAGATTAAAAAGTAAAAGAGGGCAGCAAACGAAAAGAGGCACTCATGCTTCTTTCAATATTACTGCAACAATCATGAAGCAAACACTCAATTTTGGATGTGCAGAGAAACCTTCAAGCTTCTACCACTCAAGTAAGGAACAAAGAAATCTTCCGAATTTTTTCCTTTCCTAAAATTGGGATGTACACAACTTCATTGAACCAAGTCAGTAAAGTAACATGAAAAATCAAGGGATCGCCATTGCATGGTCATAAGCAAGACTATAAGAACTAATAACAAAACAAGTGAATATATTGTGACACTGGAACTTGTTCAAGGTCTGGATGCTCTCTCACAACCAGGTTCACACTCTCCAATTTTAGAACACAGTATTGCTCTTACACCATCAGCTTTGAAAGGTAACCCCTACATCCATGTAATGCTTGATTCCACCCAAGGTATCATTTTCTGGTGAGTCCATACCAGATTCAGTTTTTCCCCCATATCAATTAGCATTCTTTATTTTTTCTTGTTAGTTGGATATTCCAGTCTGGGGGTAAAGACCATGTTATGGACCAAGTTTGATGTTGGATAAGCACGGTGTGAGAAATAAAGGGGAAGCTAGGTGTATAGAGAAGTTTACAATAACATCATCCAGAATAGGGAAAGTGAAGAGGGAGGGTTTGTAGGGTGGTCTCCCCCAAGTTCAGGAAGAGAGCTTGATGTGAAGAGTATACTATCAAAGAGAAAAGATGTCAGGAGTAATAAGCAAGGAGGAAGGTAGGAGATTTCTGCTCTTTTAGTGTGGCTGCCACAGGAGAAGGAATTGTCTCCTAACATAGCACCGTATAATGACTTGAGGGGTTGGTTGAGATTCAAAGAAGGGGTAATTATTTGAGTTTGTAGTTCATGAGGAAGCCTTGAAGAACTTCTATCTCCAAATGCCTAAATCTATTTTTATGAGAGAAAATGAATGATGAGCTCCAAACCTAGAATTAGCTTCATGAAAGTTGTGTTGGTGCTTTATAGATATCCAATATCCATTAGCTTCATGAAAGTTGTGTTGGTGCTTTATAGATATCCAATATCCAAGAGGCTGCCAGGAGGTCAATTGGGGTTGTGTGGGGTAATGTTTTAGACATGATGTTGGTGACTAGTGCCTCAAATGCAACAACACCGTAAGTTATAGTTCCTATTGAAAGTTGTTTATAAGGGAGATATAGATTATAGAATCTCACAGAGGTTGCCCACTTTGCTGGGATAATGATGGAGATGGAGATGGAGAAGTTGGAGGTCCAAGAGGATTTATTTGTGAATTTAGAGGGTAAGGGGTTTGTGATTGTTCTAACCATATTAATAAAGTGACTATCCATGGATACACAACAAAAATGGTGCATTGCTTCCAATTAGAATTACCTCGCATCTGAAACACCTTGGAGGGTTATGATTGAATAACATCCTATCACAGAGCTGTGAATACCAGTAAAAGATCACAAATGAGAACCATAGCTGTTATTAGAATATAAGTTCTATAGTTCTAACAGTTCTTAAGTGTTATGAAGGAAATAGAATCAAACAATACTGCGAGGGTGTGACCAGAGTATATATTAAACTGTTACTTGTGGTTGAATTCTAGAATAACAAAAATGGGATACAATGAATTAAACCAACCTGAAACCAAAGAATGGTGCCATTTAATGCAACCACATAAAACCTGTAAAAAAACACATAAACAATATGTAATTGGAGTTTAAGGCACCCATGTTGCAAAATATTTCCAAATTAAGTATATGCCATACTGCAAAAAAATTAAGCGTTGTTTTCCTCTGAGGTATTGTGAAAGTGGAAACTGGAAACAAAATGTTGTTTAAGAAACCATCAAGGCTGAGCCTTATTAACTCTACAAAAGATTAAACTTCATGCCCAAAACAAAGTAGATATCCAAATAAATAGGAGAACTGAAGAAAACTTATCCGCTATCCAATTGAAACAACAGAACCATAGAAATATCCCCTAATTTTCATAGGTACAATGAGTATTATTGGCACAAATAAGAAGAGTTTCAAAACTAAACAACAAAACAATGGAAACCCAATTTTTCCTGACACAAAAACAGCATAAACAGGCAGAAAAATGGGCAGGAAAGAAAAATAAGAATTACCCATCTTCGCTGAGAACCCCATGAGGGTAATTTTTTATTGGGGATGCCAAGCTGAAATTGTAAAGCTTGTTTTGGTCGAGCATGCTGAATTCGCAGGTGTTAGCAGAGGCTAAAGCCACTCTTAGAGAGAGAATGAAAGGAAGAATATGCGTAACGAGAACATTTGCTGCGCTTCCCATCCTTCACAAACTTTTAGAGAGAGATACAGAGGGGCAAGAAATTGGCCATTCATAGACAGAGAAAGAGAGCAAATAGATGGGTGGCAAGAACATTTGCTGAAATTCTCATTCTTCAAAAATTTTTAGAGGGACAGAGGGAGGGACTAGGAAATCGCCATTGGAGCTTAGCTTCAGTGTATCGTTGTTGTACAATTGGAGGGAATTTTAGAAAGGGCAAATCGCGGACGATCGGAACAAAGCCCGTAGTAAACTGCAGGACAAAATGACGTTGAATACCCCTTATTCATCTTTAAATTAACGGAATTAACCCCAACCAAAGTTTCAAATGGAAACAGTCATGGGGCTCAGCCGTTCAGGTGAGCCAGGCTCAAACTTTAAGTAGGTCCCGGGTCTACCCGTTGGGTCCTAGGTCTACCCGTCGGATTCTGAGTCTGGATGGATCTATTGCCATCTAATGACTATGAGTTTTTTAGTTTTTTTTTTTTTTTACCATCATATACTCTCTGATTATGGGCCTCTTCTTCTTTTTTTTTGCCAATAAAAATATAAATGTTGCTAATATTGCGACAACATAAACACTTAGCATGTGTCTAAAGATACATGATTGCCATCATATACTCTATGACTATGGGTATAAATCAAGTATAGTCACGTTCGGCTAGATCCAGACCCAGAACCAATATTGAGTCTACCTGTAGAGTCTTGGATCTAGTTGGATCCATTGCCACCACTAACTTTAATTGCATAAATAGTATTTTAAGACCCGAATTGTTGGAATGAACCAGCCATCTAGGAAACTGACCCACATCGATCCGGATATGTTATCCGACTAATGAGAATAAGTCAATAAAAATTAAAAATTTATAATCGCGAGGGCAAGAAATGTTTAACCCGTCCGAAAGAGTGGGGTAACATAAGGCCAATGTTAATGAATCGGGGGAATTTATCTAAGATTAAGATTATAAGTTTATAACTATTTAACAATGGGTGGAGTTTTGGCGAGTCAGCCAAGGCAACTATTCATGTGAGTCCTCCCTTCTATAATTCATTTTAGAAATGAATACAAAAATAAACAAATTTAAAATTTTAACGCGGTTTTTTTTTTTTACACTGTTTGTTTCAAACTTTGGTTGGGTCACCTTTAACACACATCTTAAAGATGGACACCCACTGATTTTCCTTTAAACATTTCTCGTATTTCTTTTAATTTGATATAAGAAATCCCATCAAAATAAGTGAAATTCTAAACCGTTGATGCTTTAAATGTGTTTTCATAAATTTCTCATTGAAAGAACAAAATAGATATGCTCTGAGGTTAAGCAAACTGTACACTTACTCTGTCGAGCAAAAACTCACTTCCTAGGGGTATTCTGTTTGGAAAAGAAAAACTCTATATATAATCGTGGCTCTAAACAATCAAATTAGAGCCCACCTCAAAAATTTCACCAAAAGAGGTTATTTGATGCTTAAATATCCTCAAATTGATCATCTCGACATGTAGATGAATGGACATGAGAAAAAAAATGGATTTTAAATTTTCAAAATAGTACACCTTATAATGCATTTTTGGAACGTTAATTTTCAAGATTTTCAAGTTCTCATAGATCTGCCCGATCTACATTATTTTTGAAGCTTTAGATTTTATAATTAACGATGAAAATATATTTTAAAACTATCACAAATATTTTTCAATATTAAAACCACATTTCTTGATACTATTTGAAAGTGCACTCTACTTTGATTGTCTCTATACAAACCACACCGTTTTGGGAAACATGTTAAGGATGTTCTCTACTCATCCCAAAAATCAATGATAAAAAACAAATAATAAAATAAAATAATAACATAAAAAATTAAAAATTTAATTGCTTGAAAAGATCCCATCTCAAGAGCTAAAACACTAACCCCGCAAATCATTTTATTTGAGATCATTTTATTTGAGAATTATTCATCTAGTAATTGTAAGGTGAATACAAAGTTTTCAGACCAAATCCCTCAAAGCAAAAAGGGATTAAGCACGCAATTGTTCCCAAGTGAGCGGCCTATATGCACTCACAAACTCATAACACGTTTGATTCACGTGAAATTTTTACATAAAACAAAAAATATGTGGGAATATTTTAATATCAATCGGTCTTAATGCATCTTTTCACACCCACGCGAACCAAATGTGCTGTACTACGTCCCCCACCTAGGTTTCAATTATTGTACCAATTTTAAGATACATGTATTAATGGATCTATTATTAAGGCTAGCCAAAATTTTCATCGACGTTTGAAATTCAGATACTAAGTAGTAATTTGAGATCCTTCAATTCTTGGCGGTCCAAGATGGAACATTTAGTATAAATTCAATAAAATTTGATGAACTTTCAACGAAATCAATTATATTGGCTTTTTTAGCTCGAGTTTGATTCAGTTCTGAAGTAAGTTTCGACTTTTATTCTTTTGTTTATTTTCTTGTGTCAACTCTAACGACATTTTTTTTTATGGAAAAGTATACAAAGAAATTATTTATTTTTAATAGAAGGAAATCACAATCACTTTTGTCCATCGGATTTCAAATTGGATGGTTGTGAGTATCATTAACTATGCCTCAAGTTCAAAAAAGAATTTATCAAACTTTGTGGCACACCTCAATCCATCCAATTTGACATCTAATTGCTAGTACTAATTGTGACCTCCTTGTACCAAAAATAAATGATATCAAAGTATTAGAATCCCTTTTTTTATTGTCGTTCACGTTACTTGCACATGTGCATGCCAAGTGCGCATACACAAGCTTGTCACAATGTGCGAGAGAGAGAGAGAGAGAGAGAGAGAGAGAGGAAGTATGNGTGCAGACTAGAGGAGACTAGTGTCGTTCTTTTTAGTTTGACTGTTGT